TTTTGTTTTTTTTTTGTTTTTGTTCGAAGTCTGAAGAATAAAAGTCATGTGATGAAGTTATCATTCTAATGGCATTCTGAATGTAATATGTGCCATTAGCAATTGGCATTCCAAAACCTGCTCAATTTTCACTCGCGCCTGGCTCACAACTTTGATTAAAAATGATTCTGCAGTGTAAGCTGAATTACCTACGATGCACCCCCTTTTTCTTCTTGCCCTTTTTGAAGATCCTACTGACGAGGGAGGAGCCAGGCCATGAAGCTCGCTCACCGAAAGGGAAATTTGTCGTCGCATATGGTTCCCACATTTATTAAGTGGTACCTCTTCTTATTCATATAATCCACTGGATTCTCTCTGGGTGTCACTATTCTAACGTGCGTGTTATCAAACATCCCACAACATCAGGGAGCCTATACTTTCTATATACTTTTCGCGCTTTCCTCTTCTTCCGAAATTGACGGGCAGTTGATGTACCTTGGCGCCAACTTTACAACAGCTTTCAGAAAAATCCTGTCTTTAAAACCGTGCTTTGGTTACAGCCAGCAAGATGCGCCAAATCGGCCTGCGTGGCTTTTCTATTCAAAAGGTGAACACATGCAGCTACTTGCTGGGCAACCGTCAGAGACGTTACACTACTCATTGGATGATCTTCTCTGAGCATCTCGCAAAGTTCATAGAAGACGACCAAAACGAAAGTTCTTTGGAACTCAACGTCCAATAGCGTTTCGAAAGGACACGTGCGATTTCTGTACAAATGGAGTCGTTCCGGCTCATCCTCTTCGCTATCGCTGTCCTCGAGCAAGAGTTCTTTTGAGTTCATCATCTAAAAATAAGGGTTAGGATTTTAATTCAAAAGCATATTACTTGAAGCATATGAGCAAAACGCATAGATATCTTTTTGGCGGTGACTACAAACCTTGAGGATACCTTAGCTTTGCTGCGATTCGTCTGAGTTATCTAAATAATTCTCGGTCAGCCTTGGAGGCTTTATACCTTACTTGGATACTTGGATGGCCCGTCTCACGTGGCGTGC